AATCACCACCCCCATCACTACCCCCATCACCACCCCCACCACTCCCACCACCCCTACCCCCATCAACCATCACCTCCACCCCCACCACCACCATCACCACCCCCACCCCCACCCCCACCACCCCCGACACCACCACCACCCCCGACACCACCACCACCGCCACCACCACCCCCGCCACCACCACCACCACCACCACCCCCGACACCACCCCCAACCGCCACCACCACCTCCACCACCACCACCCCACCATCACCACCTCCACCACCACCGCCACCCCCACCATCACCACCCCCACCACCCCCACCATCACCACCACCACCGCCACCCCCACCATCACCACCCCCACCACCCCCACCATCACCACCCACACCACCCCCACCATCACCGCCACCACGAATCACCACCCCCATCACTACCCCCATCACCACCCCCACCACCCCCACCACCACCACCACCCCCACCACCACCTCCACCACCACCACCCCACCATCACCACCTCTACCACCCCCACCACCGCCACCCCCACCATCACCACCCCCACCCCCCCCCCATCACCACCCCCACCACCAACACCACCACCACCGCTTACCCCCACCATCACCACCCACACCACCCCCACCATCATCGCCACCACGAATCACCACCCCCATCACTACACCCATCACCACCCCCACCACCGCCACCACCCCCACCGCCACCACCACCTCCACCACCACCACCCCACCATCACCACCTCCACCACCCCCACCACCGCCACCCCCACCATCACCACCCCCACCACCCCCCCCCCCATCACCACCCCCACCACCAACACCACCACCACCGCCACCCCCACCATCACCACCTCCACCACCCCCACCATCACCGCCACCACCACCATCACCACCCCCACCACTACCGCCACCCCCACCATCACCACCCCCACCACCCCCACCATCACCATCACCACCCCCATCACTACCCCCATCACCACCCCCACCACCGCCACCACCACCACCGCCCAGCTATTGAGAGGCGTGAGAGCGCCGTGCGGGAGGGAGAGGTGCCGCAGGCGCTGGGTGTGGCTCTGTGACCAGCGCGGCCGCCCCCATTGCGTCGCGCGCTTTCACGAATTCATCACCGCTCCTCGCTCCGGCGGGTTTACCGTTGCGCGGTCAGATCAGCGAACCGAATCAGCGAAGCGGTCTCATTCAGGGACCCGGGGCACGGTCGGAGCTCCGCGCGTCGTCCTGTGTCGTTGGGGTGGCACCGCGCGTCGTCAAGTATCAACAACAACAACAATAAACACCACAGCCGAGAACTCGACAACAAAGAGCTGCCGCCGACACGCGGAGCGAAACGTCGGACACCACGCCGAACGACAAGATGCGCGTACGAGACGGAACAGGACACTTTCGGGGTTCACGCAGCACGGCGGCGAAAAAGACCAAAGCCACGCTCGTGACATTCGTCGTCGCGGTCACGAAAAGCCGCGATCGATCCACCGCTGGACGACAGGCGGCCTCGTTCCGCCGAGCCGTCGCCACGATCCCGCGGTGCAACAATCCACGAGCCGATCCCATCGCTGCGTCTCCCGCGGTGGCACGGAATGCGTCGGGGTCGCCGTTCCCCCCCCCCCCCCCCCCTTTGCCCTCGTCCCACTGCTCGTTACTTGTTCAGATGCGGCAACGCAGCGTCGCCACGTGTGTGAGAGTGTGAGTGTGTGGGTGAGTGTGTGTGAGTGAGTGTGTGTGAGTTGGTGTGAGTGTGTGAGTGTGTGTGTGCCCGACTGCGAGTGATAGCCGGCGGTCGGGACACGCGGCACAATTAAGCCACGCAGAGGTGGGGGTGGTAGGTGGGGGTGGTAGGTGGGGGTGGTAGGTGGGGTGGGGGGGGGCTCGGTTCAATCCTTGCAACAGGGCTCAAGGCAAATCACGCTACGCTGCTGACTCCCCCTTGATTACTCAGACTGATGCATCCCTCACGATTATTTTGCCCCCGCCCCGACCTTTCTTGGCCTCCCCAACAGACCCAACCTCAAGGTGTCTTTTGTTGTTGTTGTCAATATATTTTATTTTAGCAGCTAAATCCCACTGAGCTACTGTATTTTTCTTGCAGAGGCAAACCCGGCCACGCGTGATAAGCCCATCGAGGTGGGGGCATTTATAGTGGCAGCCGAATCATCGACGAGCCGCGTTCGGCATTGCGAGGCCCCAGGTGCCACTGGCAGCCCCTGGTGGCCTTGAGTGCGGCCTCTGAGTGCGCCCCCCCCCCCCCTACCATCATCGTGGCTGGCAAACCCAACAATTGTTTCAAAGGTGTGGCGGCCCTCCCTCGCACTGATGATGTCTTATCGTGGCAAAAAGGTCCCGTGGATAACACTGGTCTAAACGCGTGTTTCTCAACGTGGAAGGCATAAACCGGAGGAATCCGGAGAAAGCTCTCAGAGAGAGAACGCGCGGAATATTATACAACGGGCATAGTCAGGGTCGGGATTAAATCATCGGTCTCCTGCGTACCAAGCGTTTGCTGCACCGATGTGATCAGTAGCAGGACACGGAGTTGCTTTGGAAGGGGCCACGTCAGCGGGTCTCACGCGCCGACATATCCCCTGGGCACACACTCACGGGTCTCACGATCCCCTTACCGGCGCCTTGCTCGCGCGCGTGCCTCGCGAAGCGGGGGAACTTCACTGTCCGTGTGAGTTGACGATTACCTCTGCCTGGAGTAGGCCCCCAGGTAAAGCGGTTCACCTGGACAAGTGACGTGTGTGTGTGTGTTGGGGAGCGGTAGTGTAGAGGTTAGCACGCTACGCTACGATCCCGGCTACCCGACACGGTCAATACCAGTGACGATTATTTGAACCGGTCCTGGGCCTCCTCCATGTCAACTCAGCCTCAAATGAGTATCTAGTGCAGTGTGTAAACATCGCCACTCGGGAGACAAATGCGGCCGGGCGTGGTGCTGGCCACCCAAACCCTCGTGTGCTGTGCCGGCCTTCATAGGTGCTCGCTAACAGCACTTGCTCCTACAGTCTGTTAAGGCTATACGGTGGATATTTGTCTTTGCGACGTGTGCGTCTGGGAAGCGGTTAGCGTAGTGGTTAGCATGCTGCCGCTACTAACCCGCTCACGGCCATCATCAGTGACGAACATCCAAACCCATTCTCCCCTCGGTCGACTAATGTATACTTGTTGCGGTGTAAAAAAAAAAAATCAGCACTGGGGAGACAAAGGCGGCCGGGTGTGGTGCTGGCCAACCAGCGGGCGTGGTGCTGGCCAACCACCCCCTCGTGTGCTGTGCTGACCTTCATAGGTCTGTTAAAAGGCTCTACGGGGGATCTTTGTTTTTGACGTGTGCGTGTAGCGCGCGCGTGTGTGTGTGTAATGTGCATGGCTGCTGTCAATGTAAAGGTGCAAAGGCAAAAGTGCAGCCCTGCTAGCCCACGCCACTGCTGTTGAAATGGGCATCGCCATAAGGAGCTCTAGAAAGGGTCTCTTTGGTCTGCTCTTCCAACGAGCTTATCCGACGACTGTACCCAGCCACCCTGTGGTGTGCACACCTACACCACAGGGTGGAGGGAGCAAGGTGGGTGGGGATTTAATGCATTGTTTGAGCTGCCGCCCCGGGAGAACGCCCAGTGCCAACCATTGCACCGTGAGGGCTCGGCAGTGTTTGTTTCATCCCACGTGGTGATGAGCACGAGGAGTGGATGTGCGTAAGAAGTGGCGAATATTTAAACCTCGCCTAGGTCGACTCTGCCTCAAATGAGTACTGTACTCGGTGTGGTGTGTGTAAAACATCACCACTGGGGAGACAAATGCGGCCGGGCGTGGTGCTGGCCACCCCACCCCCTCGTGTGCCGTTCCGGCCTTCATAGGTGCTACTCGCTAACAGCACTTGCCCCGACAGTTCTGTTGAAGGCTGTACATGGGGGAGGGGCGTCGTTGTCTTTGTGAAGATCGGTGGCATAGTGGATAGCGCACTTCCCTAGGAGCACGGCGGTCTCACGTCGATTCCCATCCATAGCGAGTGTATCTGAAACCGTTTCTGGACCTCCCCTAGGTCGAGCCAGCCTTTAATGAGAAGCTTCTGCAGTTGTGTGAATATCCAAACTTGTTCAATCACTCACGGCCACCGAGGTTTGGCAAAAAATAATGAATGCGTTCAATCAGTTCGGTACCAATTTAAACACAACACGTGTTTGCGATGGCGCGTCGCCACTGGTGCATAAGTAAACATTACACACAAAAACAAGGAACAAATTCGTCAATAACACTGCCATGAAAGGGAAAGAATATATAATAGGCGACGTTTCGGGCAATGCCCCTTCATAAGTACCGACTCGTTCACTTTACCCTCGGATTTATTACGGGGATACCCAAGTGGGTGTGGATGTACATGTGGTACCCATCACGATGACGCTTCAACAATATCGTCATCAATATCATCATCAGCAACAACATCATCCACATCAACTAAAACCCGGGTACGTAATTGTGAAATCATCGGTGGACACTTCAAGATCGAACTCTTGAGAGTTTTTTAAAACTCTTCTGCACGTTCCCAACTCTTGATAGTGCTTCAATTCGCACCGTAAGTTTAGTTATTTCTTACTCGGGCAATCATGACTTAGTCATCATAACTATTGGTGTACTATTCATATTAACCACAGATCATAATGTACAGCCTTGTGAAAATCCACTGTTGGATGAAGACCTTGCCAGCACCCTGCCGCACATCAGTGAATGTTTGACCATACTTCACCGCGCTGGTCAGTATGGTTGGGTGAACGGTGCATGAGTGGGGGGGGCGGGGGGCGTTGTGACCAAGAGGCGGTCTGGGAAATCCAACTCAAGATACAAAATGCAGTGCGCTAACCACTGCGCCACCGCTCAACCAGCGACAACAACAAAAGCAGACAGTTCACCTGGTCATCATCTCTGATCTCCGCACGCACGCGGCGGTGAAACGCCACGTGGAGCCAGAGAAAGAGACGGCCGAAGAGCGGCCGAGCTTACCAGGGCATGCACGCTGATGCTGAAGCTGCTGATGATGCTGCTGTTGCTGCTGCCGCCGACGATACTGCTGATGATGATGCTGCTGCCGACGATACTGCTGATGATGCTGCTGCTGCCGAAGATGATGGCTGCTGTTGAAGTTACCGCAAATGATGCTGATGTTGATTGTCGTTCAAACTGATGTTAATGTTGCTGCTGCTGATGATGATACAAACTCGATGTTGCCTGTGATGACTATGTAGCTGCTGATGGTGATGATGTTACTGATATTTCTGGTGATGATGATGGTGCTGCTACAGATTCTGCTGCTACTGCTGATGGTGATACCGGTGCTGCTACTGCTGCTGATGATGATGATACCTCGAGTGATGCTGCTGCTAAAGCCGCTGCTGCTGATGACTATCGTCCCGCTGATACTTCTGTTGCTGATACTATTGCTGCAGAGATTGGTGATACCGGTGATGTCGCTGCTGCTGATAATGAAGTCCCTTATACCTGTGGTGATGCTACTGATGATGCCGCTGCTGCTGCTGATACTGTTGATGCTGCTGATGATACTGTTGATGCTGCTGATGATGCCGCTGCTGCTGATATTGTTGATGCTGCTGATGATACTGTTGATGCTGCTGCTGATATTGTTGATGCTGCTGCTGATAGTGTTGATGCTGCTGCTGATGATGCTGCTGCTGATGATTATACTGTTGATGATGCTGCTGCTGCTGCTGACACTGTTGATGATGCTGCTGATGATACTGTTGATGCTGCTGCTGATACTGTTGATGATGCTGCTGCTGATGATACTGTTGATGCTGCTGCTGATACTGTTGATGATGCTGCTGCTGATGATACTGTTGATGATGCTGCTGCTGATGATGATGCTCCATGCACTGTGAGGCTGGCGGGCCTCCGCGTCCGAGCAGGGCTCGTTTCTGGAGCGCGTTTCCGACGATTGTTGTGCCTTAATGCTGTTTTTCCTCGCTCCGGAGGAAGCGCCCCCCTCCCCCCACAACACCCCTCCCCCCTCCACCGCACACAATCCCCATCACTGCCCCCAAAATAGTCTCTGACGTGAGCGACCCGCGCGGTGAGAAGGGCGAGACGCGCGGGCTGAGTTACCTGGAGACTTGGCCGCTCGCGATGATAACGCGATCTGCGCTATTGCTGATCGTGGTCAGAGCTTGATTTCAGCCGGGGCTGAGCTCCGGAAAATATTTTCAGGTGGGATGAATGAGGGTGGCGTGTGGTGGTGGGGAGTCGGGGGGGGGATGGTTGGCGTGGTGGGGGGGAGTTGAATATTCAAAGGCGCTCGGAATTAATCCATAAAATATTAAAACAATGTTTGGTTAAGCAATCGCGTCGTTAGGGATAAATGTGCGCAACTGAATAAATGATCAGGCCCATTCTGTCCCTCCGCTGAAATAAAAGCATGTTTTACACATCCCATCAGCCACCACGGCCTTCTGGGAGTTCATCATTTCAGCGGCAGGGAATCCCAACGTGGAGCAGGCGTTGTGAGCGCTAGTTCGGTGAGCTAATGGGTGAGTATGTAAGGTGAGCGAGTGGGTCATTGAGACGGGGTGAGTGTGTGGGGTGAGTGAGTGGGTGGGTGTTGTTCTGACATGCAGCGTAGCGAGTGAGTGGGTGAGTGAACGAGTGAGTGGGTGAGTGAGTGTGGGTGTGAGTGTGTTGTTCTGACCTGCAGCGTGCGGAGTGAGTGGGTGAGTGAACGAGTGAGTGGGTGAGTGAGTGTGGGTGTGAGTGAGTGTGTTGTTCTGACCTGCAGCGTGCGGAGTGAGTGGGTGAGTGAACAAGTGAGTGGGTGAGTGTGGGTGTGAGTGAGTGTGTTGTTCTGACCTGAAGCGTGCGGAGTGAGTGGGTGAGTGAACGAGTGAGTGGGTGAGTGAGTGTGGGTGTGAGTGAGTGTGTTGTTCTGACCTGCAGCGTGCGGAGTGAGTGGGTGAGTGAACGAGTGAGTGGGTGAGTGAGTGTGGGTGTGAGTGAGTGTGTTGTTCTGACATGCAGCGTAGCGAGTGAGTGGGTGAGTGAACGAGTGAGTGGGTGAGTGAGTGTGGGTGTGAGTGAGTGAGTAAGTGTGTTGTTCTGACCTGCAGCGTGCGGAGTGAGTGGGTGAGTGAACGAGTGAGTGGGTGAGTGAGTGTGGGTGTGAGTGAGTGTGTTGTTCTGATATGCAGCGTAGCGAGTGAGTGGGTGAGTGAACGAGTGAGTGGGTGAGTGAGTGTGGGTGTGAGTGAGTGAGTGAGTGTGTTGTTCTGACCTGCAGCGTGCGGAGTGAGTGAGTGAGAGTGGGTGAATAAGTGTGTGGGTGAGTGAGTGAGTGAGCGTGTGAGTTAGTGGGTGAATGAGAGTGAGTGAGTGAGTCAGAGTGGGTGTGAGTGGGTGAGTGAGCTTGCGAGTGAGTGGGTGATTAAGTGAGAGTGGTGAGAGTGGGTGAGTGAGTCAGAGTGGGTGTGAGTGGGTGAGTGAGTGAGCGTGTGAGTAAGTGGGTGAGTGAGCGTGCGAGTGAGTGGGTGAGTGAGTGAGGTGGGTGTGAGTGGGTGAGTGAGTGAGGTGAGTGTGAGTGGGTGAGTGAGTGAGCGTGCGAGTGAGTGGGTGAGTGAGTGAGGTGAGTGTGAGTGGATGAGTGTGGTGTTCTGACCTACAGCCTCGTGGTTGAACACAGTGGTGGATGAGACAAAGCAAAGTCAGTAGTCCGGTCCGCAGAGTCTCCAACGCGAGTGGAAGGAATCAATGACTGAAGTTCACAGTCATGAGCAGCGATAGAAGAGTGCTACGTGTTGATGTTGTTGAAGTTGTTGCTGATGATGATGATGTTGTTGTTGTTGGTGATGCTGAAACAATGAAAATGTCACCAACTGCGTGTGCAGCACCAGCATGGCCTTGGCTGCACGCGCGCGTGTGTGTTGTTTGCGTGGTTTCCGCACAGCCACACACACACACACACGTGTGTGCGCTAGCCGCTGTGCGCAAGCGGGGGGGGGGGGGTCTGTCTGGACAGCTGTGTTCGCGTCCTCCCCCCCCACCACACACACCGCTCCCCACGCAACCGGGGGAGGTGGGTGGGTGGGGGGTCCCATAATGACCCCAGGTGTTCCACTGGGACCAACGAGGGCATTGTAAACACAGACGGACACAAACAGTGGCCAACGTCTGGACACACACACTAAACAAGAGGCGATCGGTGACAATGGAGAGGATGGGATTAAGCCGACCGCCAAAGAGTATTCGCTCTACCCCTAACCACACTAGGAAACCAGTCACTGTTACAAACCCTCATACCTTAGTTGAAAACGTTGTAGGCTTTCGCGAACAATAGTATCCATAATAGTTTTTTGGGGTTAGATCACGTAAAATATAAATGTGTCGTTAAACCCGCCACCACCCGACACAGCCAATTAGTGAGGTCTGTCACGTTAATAAAAGCGTGCCAATGTAGTTACTACTAACCATGCCTTATTAACCAGCCACAAATAGTAGCCCTATACTACTGACCCTAACCAGATGTATTTATACTGGAGACATCCGATGGGCTATAAAGATATTGTTCACAGATGTCCAGTCAGGGCGGGTAAGAACGTAGCAACAACAAAGAGTGCAAAAACACGATAGGGGTGCAAAGTACAGGAAAGGTAAACAAATCACCCAAAAACACACGGACAAATTAAACTAAACCATCCCCATCCTACCAGCAATAGCCATCGCCAATGAACCAGCCAGTACGAGTCCTACCCATAGCCAATTAGCCAACCCTCCAACAAATGAAATCCTTGCGTATGGCGATATATAACGATAAATAACGCGCGCTAAATGTCAGTGTCGAGGTGGATGATGGTCAACAACCCGAGGGGCGTCAGGAGGAGACTTCGTGTCCGCTGTTCCTCCTCCTCCTCCGTTGTCGAAGGAGCGCAGGCTACCGCAGTGGCTTGACGATCTGGCCCACGTCTTTAGTCGTCGTGGGCCCACAATTGCCGCACAGCACCATTGTGGCTTTACGTGTTCCTGTTGCGATGGAGGCGCGCGCATCGGCCCGTTGACGTCCCGATGCGGTCGATAGGTTACAACCACCGGTGACCTCGAGGAATGGCAAAGCCACGCAGGAGATGTTGCGATGTTGGGGTCTCGCATGAGAGGTTTATTCTGGAACCTTCCAACTTAGGGGCCGTCCATAAATGACGTCACGCGATTTTGGACGATTTTTGACCCCCCCCCCACTTCGTCACACGGCGTCACAAAAATCAGACCCCCCCTCAAATATAAAATAAAACATGCTTCAAACCGCTTTAAACTATTGTCATTGTAGTGCGTATTTAATGTGGCGCTGCACTCTGATGTTGTAGGAGAAAACATTTATAAAAAAAGTGTTGTCTATATTTATTTAAAGTTGCGCATTTTGACGTGACGTCACATTTCTCAAACCTTCCCCCCTCGTCACACATCGTCAGAAATATCTGACCCCCCCCCCCCCAGGTGCGTGACGTCATTTATGGACGGCCCCTTAGCCTCACCAACTAGCGACGAGTACTCACCATTAACCATAGGAAACTAGCCGCTAAACAACTCGCCATACAGACTCCAGCAGTATAGCCCTAGATTTGAAGCTTTCGTGACTGCAAGGTTCCATACTCTTATGTTTTTTCGGTAAAGTCACGTAGGTAAATCTAGCTGTGACGGTCTCACCTGATGACGGAGACTTGTGTTGCCTCCGAAACGTCGTGATTTATAATTTTATTTCTATTATTATTTGTATTATTTTTACTTTTATTATTTATTTTTACCTACGTGACTTTACCGAAAAAACTTCAGAGTACAGTATAGCCCTGTCACTGACCCTAACGCCGCCCATACCACGGCTTTGCCAAGGCCCCGTGAGAAATGTCTTGTTAGAGGTGTTCACATGTTGCTGATCGACCAAGACGTCTCAAATTTGCGTACATTCTCTCATCCCTCCCCCCGTGCTTGTGTTCGTTTCGCTATCACTTTCTCTTTCGCCGGCCCGGCTTCTGCGATCCGTGCGACATAGCAGGTATGATGCGCCTGGATTAGGAAACTATCGGGGCCTCGCTTTGGCTCAAAATGACACCCCGCCTTTTGAGAATACGAGGATGCCTCCTTGGATGAACGAACACCGGAAACAAAGGCGCAGGGGTTCGTGGCATCGCTCGAACGTCTTCGGTCGGGACACGGACCGATGGTCGAGGACAATAACGGAGCGGCAGCCAAGGAATAGAACGCACACGCCGGTAGGACGCACCCCCGACAGAGATGGAGCGTTGGAATCAGATCGTGCGCAGGTGCTAGGCGGATTAATTACGTCGCGGGATTGTGAGAGGTGGTGGTGGTTGTGGCTTTAGGGGGGGGTGGGTGGAGGGGGGGAGGCCTTCATCCAGCAGTGGATTGACCATGACGGCTGACGGTAATTACGATGAGACCAACATTGTTGCTGTTGCTGCCGCCGTCGTCGGTGTCAGCATTCGCTGTTGGTCGACGACAACTTCCCGTGCAATATTTCCCCACTCATCCTCATCCCGTTGCTTTAATGTCCGCGGACATCAATAGCAAACAATTGCCCCCGTGACGTCGCCGCGATGCCCACTTCAACTCGAGTGGAGCTTAGTCCCCACTGAGCAGTCGTCTGCGACTTGGCAAATCACGAATCGTCTGCGAAGAGCAATAACTCGGGTAATCATTTCGATTGATGATGCTGCTGATGATGCTGCTGCTGATGATGATGATAATTTTCTATTTTATTTTAGACGATGATCGGGAAATCTGTTGTTGTGAACCCGTGAGCGATCATTGAAGTCGTGAGAAATCACCGAGAAATTATCACGGAATCGTGTAGATTACCGTAGATGTCATGCCGATGTTACATTCGG